TAATACAAAAATAGAGAATCGTAGTCCGTTTTTACGCTGCCCTTTTAATAAAATAATGAGCCTAGCCTCGCTAAATAAAACACATGAATCGCGGGGCCCTCAATAAATGTTACATAAAAATACTTAGAATTCGGGCAGACCGTTTTAGCAAATTTCACGGTCCTCCCCAAAGATAATGAATGCGTAGTTGTTTAGGGTGCGTATTTTAATAATATTATCTTCCCAAATGTGGGTGCACATTTNTTTAAGAAATCCAGTTTAAGTGAGTCCTTTGAACGATATTTTAAAGTGTATTAATTAGGACTTTATAGACCGTACTGAACTGCTGCGTTTCTGTCAAATTCTATGGTTAACCTGTTGAATAATATTAGATGCGATTAGTTCTAGTTTATTGCCATGTTTGAGATTTACGTTCAGGGTGCAACAGTGGCTTAATAGTGATGGTTTAGTGTTATTAAAAACATTAGAACATATTGCCTTGACTTGAATCTGGAAACAGCTTGTGTGTCTCTCACTGAAATTCAAAGTGTCATTTGTGGCCATAAGGATTGACTACCTTAGTGTGCTTGTCATATTGATTAATTGAAATCAGAAATGAACATTGGAAATACATTCAGGTTTAGACCGTGACTAATTTGTGTTGAAAAGTATTAACCGGGGTTAAATGACTGCCAAAAATCAGGAAATAATGGTATGCAAACAATTTTGAAATTTACGTTGAGTTTTGAATTTCAAACTGTTTATCTGCTAACAAGTTGTGATTGAAATTAGAATCCAGAGGGCCAAATGAAGCTTCATATTGGATCTGGACTCACTTATGAGCCAAATCTGACGGCCCCTACTCGGACCAGACTTGGGCCTGGAATTTGCTTGTACAGGGCCCATGTTTGGGCAACTTTGTTCTTATGAGTACGGCTGAATTTGTTTAGGGCCAGCTTTGAGGCCCAAGACACTGAAAGTACATCAATACTAATTAATTAGGGTCGTTTAGAGACAAGACCTAATAGAAGAATCATAGTTTCTTTAGATTTGCCTTTTAAATAATAAAGTGAGATGAGCCTCGCCAATAAAAATGCAAAATCACGGGGCCCTCAATAGATGTTATAAAATACTTAGAATTCGGGTGAACCGTTTAGCGAATTTTCATGGTTTTCCCCCAAAGATAATAAAAGCGTAGTTGCTTTAGGCGCGTATTTCAATAATATTACCTTCCTTAATGCGGGTGCACATTTATGTGACCCAAATCTAAATCTCAACGAAGTTGGAATGCGTCAAAAGCCACGGGCGCACTGGTGTGACGTGGTTCGAGACACATTTTCACGACGTTGAAATTCTTATTAAGAAGACATAAAATAAAAGCGGTTAAAATAAAAGCACATAGGTTAGAATATGTTTAAAAATCAGATAAAAGCAAATACAACAGTTGAGCGACCGTGCTAGAACCACGGAATCCGGGAATGCCTAACACCTTCTCCTGGGTTAACAGAATTCCTTACTCGGAGTTCTGGTTCGCGGACTGTTAACAGAGTCATAATTTCCTCGGATCGGGATTTAAGCGGTGACTTGGGACACCATTAATCTCCCAGGTGGCGACTCTGAGTTTTAATTAAATAATCCCGTTTCGATTGTCACTTCAAGTTGGAAATAACTCCCTTTATTATACCCTCCCGGGGGTGTAGTAGTGAAAAAGGAGGTGTGACAAATGTTGTTTTCAATTCCCATGCCTTTGCCAATTGATCAGAAGGACTTGGACAAGGTTTTGGGTAAAAAGAATTTTGGACGGAAGTACAACTTTGGAACCATTTTGGTGGACTCACGGTCGAACCATTATATCATCTGCCCCAGTTTCAACTTTTGGGGGAATTGGGATTTTTGTTTTGGTGTGACTGAACCCCAGAGAGAGGCTGCCTACGTATCCTTTTGGAATCAAGTCAGACGTAGTTCAGGGAAAACATTTGTTTTTGTTGTTTTTGTGTTTGTTTTGTTTGTTTTTGTTTTTTCTTTTCTTTTTCTTTTTCTTTTCATCATATCATATTTTCTTTTTCTTTTCTTTTTTTCTTTTTTCTTTTTCTCTTTTTTCCATCATATTTTCTTTTCCTTTTCTTTTTTTTCCTTTTTTCTTTTTTTTCTCTTTTTTTTTTGATAATACTTCCGGGTTGCAAAGAGGGTAGCCAAAGAAGGGTAACCGGCTCAAATGGGTTTACGAAGGGTTAATAGTGTTTGGATAGCGAGAAGAAAAGCCTTCGTCATCTCAATTGCACAAAAAACCAACACCGCAGAGAGCCTAGATATAGTACCTTTTTACTGCATCCGCATTCATAGCTATTTCGGGATCATTTCTTTTGATATCTCCCAAATACAATGCTCCTCTCGGCAATATTTTCCGGATGTTGTATGGACCCTTCCAATTAGGAGCAAATTTTCCTTTTTGCTTCCTGGTGATGAGGGAGAATGCGTCTTAACACGAGCTGTCCCACTTCAAAATTCTTGGGACGCACCTTCTTGTTGTAAGCTCGGGCCATTCTTTGTTGGTACAACTGCCCGGATGTGCCCTGAGTACAGCACACTCTTTTGTTGTAATGTATGGACCTTTCCAACCCGCGAACCAATTTCCCTTCAATTGTTCCAATTCTTTGTTTTATTTCCTCAAGGTTACCTTCTTTGCACTTCGACTCTTGATTCATTATTTCGAAATCTGACAGCGTTTTGGGATCTAGGCATGAAGTCCGCAAGCATGTTATGTTATTTAAAGCTACATTATCAAAACTGAAGAGAAGAAATGAAGGAGAGAAATAGCAAAATCAGAAAGAATAAAGAAAAGTGAAAGATGAAATATTGATTTCATTTACTTGGAATTTTGAAGATAACAGGGTTCACATTCGGGAATTTAAAGACAAGAAACTACAGGAAACATCCGAGTTACACCCTGGAATAACTCGAGATGCAGAAAAAGTAGCAGGACGNCAACAAAGAAACCTATACTGCCCATACTAATAAAGTACTGCTTCACGAAGTTCACTAGCATTGAACTCTACAAAATCATACACCCTTTTTTCTTCCAAAAATTCTGTCCAATTCTTGGAAGTAAAGTCATTAATTTATACCAGGGAATTTTTAACTCTAAGGTTTTGTCCCAGGAATTAAATAAAACCTACGTTTGTTTGATCCCTAAGTTCAATAACGCAAAAAAAATCCAAAACTTTAGACCAATTAGTCTTTGTAATACTTTGTATAAAGTGATTACTAAGGTAATTGCTAACCGCATTAAGCCTTTCCTAAAACATCTAATTAGTGATCACCAAAGTAGTTTTGTTAAAAATAGACGAGCCACAGATAATGCTATAATTAATCAAGAAGTTCTAAAACGTTTTAATAGCCGGGCAAGGAAAGGAAATTGCATCCTAAAGATTGACCTAGAAAAGGCTTTCGACAAGTTGGAATGGTCATTTGTATATAGAACTTTAAAGTTCCACAACTTCCCTTCTAATATAACCACCCTTATTCTTAGCTGCATATCAACAAGTACTATCTCTATCCTAGTTAATGGTAATAAAACAAAGAAATTTTTTCCTACCAGGGGAGTGAGGCAAGGGGACCCAATGTCACCATATCTATTCATCTTATGCATGGATATGTTATCCAAAAATATTTAGCACCAAGTACATACCCTAAATTGGGATCCAATCCTCTTGAAGAAAAATTGTCCCCCCTTGTCACACTTGTTCTTTGCAGACGACTTAACCTTAATGGGTCGTGCTAATCACAAAACTGTCACCACTATGAGGAATAATATGGAATTTTTCTGTCAATTATCTGGTCTTAATATAAACAAGGATAAATCGAAATTGTTGCTGTCTAAATCATGCCCAATTAGTACTATTAATTGGACCACTTCTTTTTTGGACATGAAGATTAGTAAGGATTGTGGCAACTACCTAGGTTTTCCAATGCTTAGTAACCAACCCAGACACAAAGATTTCCTGCCCATAATTGATAAAATGCGGTCTAGGCTCAATATTTGGAATGCCAAATGGCTCAGCATGGCAGGAAGGTGCACTCTCAAAAAATCAACCCTAAACACAATACCAAATCACCAAATGCAACTCTCAATGCTCCCTAGTTGGACTCTAAAGGAATTGATAAGGTCCAAAGGGATTTCCTTTGGGGAACTACAACTAAGAAAAAGAAAATTTACTTAATAGGCTGGAATGTGGTTACACTGCTTAAGGACATGGGTGGGGGGGGGGGGGGGGGGGGTCTCAATATTAGAAAAGCAAAGTCTAAAACTATTTTCCTTCTGACTAGCCTTGCTTGGAGGCTTCTAAATGACCCATCCTCTCTTTGGGCGAGAGTCTTCACTAGCCTCTATGGCCATACTAAGTCCACTAAGGAGGGATTCAATACTTGGAAAAGCCTTCTAAAGGGGTGGAATTTTTGTCAACAAGGTATAGGATGGCCACTGAGCGATCACCCTAACATGTCCATATGGGACACCAACTGGATCCCTAATTATGGCAAGCTAAGGAAAAATTTAATAGGCCCCTTCACAAATAATGCGTTTGACTTAAGAGCAAAAGACATCCAAATTGATAATAAATGGGATCTAGCTCATATCTCCTTCGAAATACCCCAAAATATTATTAATAGCATTCACTTCCTAACTACAACCTCCACACACACTAGTAAACTTATATGGAGTGTATATCCTAGTGGGATATTTACAACTTCCTCATGCTACAAATTAATTGACACGCAATCTCAAAATAGTAAAGATTTTGCATGGATATGGGGCATAAAATGCCCTAGGAAAATCCAGATTTCATGTGGAAATGTTACCACTCTCGACTACCTACCAGGGACTACCTAGGAAAAATTGGTATTAACATTGATACTACCTGCCCAATTTGCAAAAATAAGGAAGAGTCCCTACTTCATATGTTTTGGGAATGCAAGGTGGCAAATTTTTTTAGAGATCTATAGGGGTGTCCTTTTCGAACCCTATGCCAAACGATCACTGGGTTGACATCCTTCGTAAAGAAATACCTCATATATCCACTAGTTTCATCACATGGGAAGATGTTTCCCCTTTTGCAATTTGGGCGATTAGGAAAAACAGGAATGAAAACAATGTTAATAACAATAATCTTAATATTAACACAACGAAAGTGTTTCAACAAACGCTTGAATATCATTTTTTCACATCCAAGCCCACTACTAGTAGTATTCATATAAAGGTGAAGGTAAAATGGCACCCGCCACCAAGGAAATGGTACAAGTTTAACTTTGATGGTGCTTTCAACAATGACTACATGCATGGAGGAATCAGTGGAATCACACGCAACAACAAAGGAAAGTGGATGTTAGGTTACTATGAGAAGTGTCAAATAATATCACCTATACATGCAGAACTACTAGCTCTTTGGCAGGCACTTCAAACAATTATCAAGGAGAAGATCACCCCATGTGAACTAGAGACAGATGCCACAGAGGTGATTCGTTTTTTAGAAGAAAATTATCCTACTTACATTGACATAATTTATGAATGCAGGTGCTTAATAGGAAGGGTAATGGAGCAGGGGGAGATCATAATGAAGCACAACTTCCGTGAAGGAAACATGGTAGCTCACAAGATGGCCAAGGAAGCTCTAAAGTACCCTACTTATAATATAACCCTTTATTTTGCTAAACCGCATGACTTTGCAATGGATGTGTATTGTAAGGACCAGGAAGGTTGTAACTATGTTCGGTCTTGTAGTATGTATGCATGCAACACTCTAGCATCTCTAGGAAATTACAATGCCATATATGGCATGGCTCAACTATGTACTAATGGCATTTCTATGGGTTGTGTACCCTAGTACTTGTCTGCTTTATTATTATTAATATTAAGTATCTTTTCCTTTCAAAAAACAAAAAAGAACTCTACAAAATCAAATGTATTTGTAACGACCCGTCTGGTCGTTTTGCCCTTTTGAACCCCGTTCCCTTAAATAATACTTTCCGCGCTTGCATTAGCTAATTTAGGACTTGTTGGGACGGTTGGTTCGGGATTCGGAAGAGTTTTGGGTGAAATATGCCCATGTGATTCCTTAGGATTTTCTTAAAAGACTAAGTTTGACTTTGGTCAACATTTTGAGCAAACGAGCCCAAATTCATAATTTGACGGTCCCGGAGAGTCCGTAAGAAAATATGGGACCAGGGCGTATACCAGGAATCGAATTCCAAGGTCCCTAGCCCGAGTAATGAATTTTTATTTGAATTGTTAACCTGAAATATTAAGGATTTAAATAAACAAAGTAACGATTGATCACGTTGGTATCGGGACCGTATGTTCGTTCCAGAGCCCGGTAAAGGTCCAATATAATACTGTGGACTTGTCTGTAAAATTTGGTGAGAAACGGGACTGATTTGACGTGATTCGGACGTCCGGTTGTAAAATAGGAATTTGGATGTTCATAAGGATTTCATGAGTTTAGGTGTTATTTCGGCGATTAGATCGCTCGAGCAAGTGGGTACAATGTTGCTGGACTTGTGGGAGCATTCAGAGTGAGGCCACGAGGGCTCGTGTCAATTCCGGGCATGGGTTTGGAATAGATCAACACACCAGTTTTCTGGTGTTTTTGCTGCTGCTGCTGCAGGTTTTGCAATTGCGAGACCTTGATCGCAATTGCGAGGGTAATATCGCATTTTCGATGAGGCTGGCTGGGGGCAGTGGCCGCATTTGCGAGAACTGGATCGCAATTGCGATCTCGCATTTGCGAGGAATAGCATCGCAATTGCGATGAGGTTGGCTGGGGGCAGTGGTCGCATTTGCGACTTTTGCTTCGCATTTGCGAACCCAGCAGGGTCCGCATTTGCGACTCCTCTATCGAAATTGCTATCAAGGCAGAGGGAGACCCAGTTTGCATTTGCGAACATATTGTCACAATTGCGACTTCGCATTTGCGAGCCTGGTGTCGCAAATGCGACATCAGAGACCTGGACACAACTTTTAAAAACGGGACTTAGGCTATTCATTTCATTTTGTCTTTACACTTGAGCTATTTGGGAGCTTTCAAAGTGGGGATTTCAAAATAGCTTTGTGAGGTAAGTTATTTCTACTTAATGTAAGTTTAATACTCGAGTTTTGGGTAGATTAACACCTAAAGATTTGGAGAAATCAAAGGGGTTAGAGCTAAACCTAGGGTTTTAATAAAATATGGACTTAACCACGAAATTTGTTATGGAATTAATTAGAAATCATATTTTAGTGATCCTTAGGTTGTAGAGAACAACTTTCTTCAAAAAATTTCGAAATCCAGGCACGTAGGCCCGGGGTCGGATTTTGGGAAACTTGTGTTAATGGTTGGGAAATTGCTTAAATTGCTTGAATTCGATCTTATGAGTCTATATTAACTAGTTCTTACATCGTTTAATTAGTCTGAGATTGTTCGGCTCCGAATTGAGGGCTTGGACTTGTTCTTGGCATTGGAAGTGCAGATTGGAGCGAGGTGAGTCTCCTTTATAACCCTGTAAGAGGGAATTGTCCCCATAGGTACAATAATTGAATTAATTGCCAATATTTGTGGGGGGCTACGTACGCACTAGGTGACGAGAGTCCGTGCGTAGCGACTATTATGTTAAGTCCGGGTAGTCTAGGACCCATAAACATGCTCTACGTGATATTCTCGTAATGTGACGATAAATTCAGATTCATATAACTGTTTGATTAAGAAGAATGAGACTAGTGAATGAAACTTATCCTGATTGGTCTTTTAGAACAGAATATTTCGTATGTCTGCATATAGCTACTCCTCAGATATATGGTATCGTTGCTTGTTGATGCACTTATTTATATTTGACAGAGTCACACGGGTGATTCGCGAGCGGGGTAATAGATGCATCTATAGTTCAAGCCGTTCAAACCTCGGCAGTGCACAATTTACTTTATGCTGGATGGGGCCGTACGTCCCACGGTTACTTGCGCATCTTTTGCTTAGCATTTCCTCTGAGAACTGAATTTAATATCTTCTTGAGACATAGGTGAATATCCATGAAAATATTTGGGAAAGAACTGTTAATCCATGATTATTAAATGCTAATAAATTGTACTATCCATGCTTGTTATAAATTTTCCTCACATTATTTGACCCTAGTGAGTATCAAGACGACCTCTCGTCTCTACTTCTTCGAGATTAGACGGGATACTCACTGGATACATATTGTTTATGTACTCATACTACACTTCTGTACTTAATTGTACAGGGTCTGAGGCAGGTACTTCTGGCTATCAGTCGAGTGCGCATCTCTGAGCGGATTTGAAACTTCTACGGTGAGCTGCTTCTCATCCATGCCGTTCAGTAGCCTGAAGAAGCCTTCCTTTTATATTTTTGCTGTCTATTCCGTTTCGGACAGTAGGATAGCGTGATTCTTTTGTAAATTCTACTAGTTGCCCATGCTTGTGACACCAGGTCTTGGCACACACACATTAGTAGACTGTATTATTTTGGGGTTGTATGATCTTCATGATTTCTATTCATCGTTTCTGAATTATTCCAATTTAAAGAATTATTTTCAACTACATTGGGGTAAAGGTGACCGAAAGTTTAGCTAGTATTTTTCCGCATTGGCTTGCCCAACAAAGGCGTTGGGCGCCATCATGACCTGTTATGGAATTGGGTCGTGACAGTATTCATATATATAGTATCAACAATAGTAAAACATCACAAATTGTCAAAAAGTCTTCATCGTTCGCTTTAATGGATCAAATTGATTTGTGGCCTACATCATCAGTATTTTCCTGCACATTCAAAATACAATTAAAAATTAGAAAGAAACGTATATATAGTATGTAATAGTCATAGCAATATTTTTCTTACTAAGAATTAATGAGATTTATTTCACTACTATACCATAACTAAGTCAAACACAAAAAAGAAGTACAAGCGAAGGAGAAGCAAAAATGTGAATTAACATATATATCACCTAAAAATCATGTTCACTTATCTTAACTTGCATGTGCAAATTAACTTGCAGTTCTTACTATAGTAAGGATCAAATGTAAAACTGTAGTATCTAGCCAAGATGAATTTGATCTTAATATATATGTCAACGAATCTAGCAAATTAGATACTATAGCAGCATTATCATAATCTCTAATAAATTTCTAACTTGTTTGTTGAAAAAGTGAACCAACGTCTCCCATAATGGTGACAGATAGTGACTTATGTGATTTCATGTCAGCAACAATTTCATTGTAGCGTTCAGACAACTGTACTAAATAAAATATAGGTAGTCAAAGAATAGTCTTTTCCCACAAAAGAAATATAGTAGCAGAACTCAATCCAAAGCATCAAAGGGAGAAAACTACAAGTTTTCACTTTATGTTGGATCATGGAGACATCCCATGTAACCTCTTAAACATAACATGAAAATATATGACAAAATAAACTTATTTTCCTTCCATTCATTGATAACTCCTATTATGTCACGACCCCAAATACCGGTCATGATGGCGCGTATCACATTACTAGGCAAGCCAGACCAGCTATCAAACCGGAACCCATTTTCATTTAATAAGTCATTTGCTAACACAGTTTAATTAGCAATTATCATAACAAGTGTTTAAAACAACAAGAATGATATGCGGAAGTCAACAAGATAGAGAAACTACACAGCCCACACAGATATGGTGTCACGAGTCTAGAGCCTGTAATACAAGTCTGAACAACCTACTACATAGATAGTCTAGAAATGTGGAAAAAAAAATAAGTTGGAAGGGAGTAATCAGGGTTGCGGACGCCATGCAGCTACCTCAAAATCCCCGGCAAATGCTGGAAAACAGCTAAAAGCTCTCACTCGGCCGATCGGGCACCTGGATCTGCACACAAGGTGCAGAGAGTAACGTGAGTACGCCAACTCAGTAAGTAACTAAAGTAGATAATGAACTAAAAGCAGTGACGAGCAGTTCAAAACATATAACTTTAAAATCAGTTCTGTCATAAGTTCATCATTTTCAGTTTAAAACATTAAAATCAGTTACTTGACAATATATCCAACAGAGGCTTATTTATAAGAAGAGTGAAAACAGTAGAACATCATAACAGGGCCCCCTTGGGCAAGAAATCACTCAAAACATAGCCCCTCGGGCAGCCTCTCAGTCACACGTGACTCGACTATAGTCACACAATATTCAATAGCAGCACTTGGCTCAATATTAACTCATAACAATAGAAATTATAATAACCGTTGCGGCACGTAGCCCGATCCATGTATTTATAGTCGCTATGCTCACTAGGGGTGTGTAGACTCCGGAGGGGCTCCTACAGCCCAAACGTCATATCACTGCGGCGTGCATCCCGATCTGATATATATAACGCTGCGGCGCGTAGCCCGATCCATATACGTATCGCTACGGCGTACAGCCCGATCCATTATATATACGTATGGTATCCTCACCATAAGGTTCTCAACCTCTCTCAGTCATTAGCCTCACAGCCTCTCGGGCATCACAACAGAAATTAGGGAACTCAGCCCAAACTGTCCTCACCATAGGAGTAGAATGATAAAACCAGTTTTAAACATTTAACAGGTAAAAACATGACTGAGGCTTTATTTTTAACAAGTAAG